TAAGTCCCCTGTACTGCGGCCACTTCTGGCCCATTGAACCAGCCCCAGATGATAGGTGAGGGTGATTGTGGAGCAATTGGTGAAATGAAGACAGGCAGGGGAAACCGAAGTACTCGGAGAAAACCTGCCCCAGCGCCACTTTGTCCACCACAAATCCCACTTGACCAGACCCGGGATCAAACCCGGGCCGCCATGGTGGGAAACCAGTGACTAACCACTTGAGCTATGGCATGGCCATGTCCTGGAGTTAATGACCTATGGAGTGTGTGACTCACTCAGACTGCCGTAGTTATTTGTACTTACATTCTGTAAGTGTTCAACATATCTGATTACCAATCCAAACCTTGTTTCTAGTCACCCTCAATCACATGACAATATAACAGAAATAAAGAAATATCAATTGCATTCGAAACAGCATGTAAACAGGATGCAATGTAGTAGTTACAGGATGGAGGATGCACGACAACCCAGATGTAGATGTAAAGAAAAATTTAAAAACATTATGAACATTGGAATGGGCTTTTAGTACTCAAATCAAGTTGGAGGAGGTAGACAAAGAAAAAGTCAAGCCCTTCCTTGGGCTCTCATGCAGAGCTAATGACCTAATCTCTCCTATGGATAATATAATTACACAGCTTATGTATCTACTACAACTGTATCAGTGTTTGTATTATTGTATAGGACTGCACAAATTTATAGTGATTCTTAGTGTTTTCCTTTGTCCTTGTATGGGTTAGGAATGTATTGTGACATGTTGCACAACGGAGAACCCTTCCCTACCCAGCAGCAACGTCGCAACTCAGGCCACAGTGACATGGCGGATGAGTCAGCGCTCCCCTCCCCCCCCCTCCGCACAGTAACGTAACGCGCAACGCGCGGTTACGTAAGACGGCGTGAGGTAACAGCGTGGCTATGTAACAGGCCCACACAGCCCCTATATAAGAGAGCTGTGCTGCCTGCGGAGTTAGTTGTAATGTGGCCATCACCGAGCTCAGTTCTGAGCTAGTTCCGAGCAAGCCTACGAGCGAGTGTGTTATCAACAGTTCTTCAGTCAGCCGACTACAGTTGGAGTATAGCAGCCGTCGCGGAAAGAAGAACCGGACGTGTGTGTAACTGTGTAATTGGGAGCGTGTGATACAGTGATACATAGCTCCCCTACTGTAAACGTGTAGACTACTGAAGAGAGAGTGAACTGATTTGTGAATAGGGTTATAAATCGTGAAACCCCGCAACAGTGTGAACAGATTAATGCAATTAGGGTTATAAAGTGTGAAACCCCACAACTGTGTTATAAATAATTGTAGCCGTTACTTGTAGGTTGTTAAATAAATCAGTTAACAATCCGAATGACGTCTTCAGTAACGAAACACGTTACACTGGTGTCAGAAGTGGGATTTGGACTTACACACGTCTCGACAAATAACTGAATTATTGTGCATCGAGTATTCTA